TAGAATCTCCCGGCCAGCAGCCCGAGGCGGTGAATATTCCTGTGCAGAACGCTGTGCAGCACCGCCAGCTGCTTCCCCACATCCCCATCCCTGCTGAAATCCCTTCGGAACGCYCCGAKCTCAGGCTGGAAGGTGAAGCGCTGCGGGAAGGGGCTGTTTTCYCTCAGATATTCCCACACGCTCAGCAGCAGCAGATGCACCTCGAACGGCGCCAGCTCCGGGAACACCTCGTGCATGTTCCCCARAACCGGGGGGAGCAGCGAGCCCTCGGCCAGCAGAGCCACCAGAGCGCACGACGCTCGGAGATGCCACGGTGACTCCAAGGTGCTTTGGGCTCGTTGCCCGTCCCAGTGGGCCACCAGCGCGGCCAGCAGCCCCCGCAGCAGCACGGAGCAGTAGCACAGCGCCGGTGGCCCCGCGGCCACCAAACGCAGCAGAGGGAACAGCAGCGGCTGCCGCTGGAATCGCCGCAGGATCCGCAGGTCTCGCTCCACGGTGGCCCGGGCCAGCTCCTCCGGTGGCCACGCCAGCTCGGCTCCCGCAGCCTCGGGGCAAACGGCTTCCACCAACGCCGCCGCCACGGCTTTGGCGGCCTCGGCGCCCACGGGAGGCCCCGGGGAGGGACAGGAGGGACGGGAGGGACGGGAGGGACGGGCGGCGCGGCAGCAGCGCAAGAGGAGACTCAGCAGCGCTTGGATGTTGCGGTTGGGCTCGTCCGGCGCTCGGTTTGGTTGCCCACTGGTCACTTTGGGCCCGCGGCCGATGACCCCGGCGTGGAACACTGACCACACCCCTCCCGAGGCGTTGGGGCCGGCGGTGAAGCGGCGATTGGTGTCCAGCAGCGAGGTGGCCRCGCCGCTCGCGGCCGAATCCTCGTGGTGGCCGCGCGGCTCCTCCGAACACCCCCCAAACAATTCGGCGTTGGGGCCGCGCAGAGCCCCCTCCACCAGCTGGGCCAGCACGGCTTTGGCGGCGGCGGCCGAGCCSGAGCTGAGGCGGACCAGCAGCCGCGCCCCGGGGGCCACCGCGCCCGCGTCGCCCCGGCGCAGCCCCGCGAAGAATCGGCGCACGGCGGCGCGGACGGCGGGCAGGAGGTGAGCGGGGGGCAGCGCCCGGGGCAGGGGACACTCGGCCAGCAGGCGACACGCCGCCTCGGCCACCTCAACCCGCGGGTGCAGCAGCAGCCGGGCCAGCTGGGGGAGGTGTTGGGCCAGCGCGGCGCTCAGCACGGGGTCGTTGTCACCGTCATTGTCACCGTCCTGCGGCAGCAGCAGCGCCAGGTTCCGCAGCAGCTGCTCCAGCTGCCCCTCGTCCATCCTCCCGGCGTGGATTTGAGCCACGGCCGCGCTGACCGCGCCGGGCAGAGGGTCCGGCAGCACCGCCCGCAGCCCCGCCCGCAGCTCCGGAGCCAACGCCAGCTCCTCGGGGCTCCGAGCCAACGCCACGGCCAAAAACAGCGCCTCGGCCGCGCCGTGAGGGGCGGAGTGAATCGCCAGCAACGCCAGGAGCTGCGGCCGCCACGGGCACGGCCCCCGGCGCCAGCGCAGAGCCTCCAGGCACAGCTCGGGCAGGTGCGGCCGCAGCGCCTCCAGGAACGGCACCGGCCGCGCCGGACACTCGGACAGCGAGGGGGACACCCGGCCGTGCACCAATTTGTGCAGGTGCAGCAGCAGGAGCTGCAGGAGGCGCTCGCAGGCTTCGCGCACGCCCTGGTGCAGCGGCGGCTCCGTGGTGGCCACGGTGGTCACTCCGGTGGTCATTCCGGTGGTCATTCCGGTGGTTGTTCCACTGGTCATTCCAGTACTCAGTCCAGTGGTCATTCCAGTGGTCATTCCGGTGGTTGTTCCACTGGTCACTCCGCTGCTCGTTCCGCTGGTCATTCCGCTAGTCATTCCAGTAGCCCCCATGGTGGTCACTCCGGTGGTCACCCCGCTGGCCACTCCGGTAGCCATTCCGGTAGCCATTCCGGTGGTTGTTCCAGTGGTCATTCCACTGGCCATTCCACTGGTCATTCTGGTGCTCACTCCAGTGGTCATTCCAGTGGCCACTCCACTCGTCACTCCAGTAGCCCCCCTGGTAGTCACCCCGCTGGTCATTCCAGTGGTCATTCCGCTGCTCATTCCAGTGCTCACTCCGCTGGTCATTCCGGTGGTCATTCCGGTGGTCACTCCAGTAGCCCCTGCACTGGTCATTCCGGTGGTCACTCCGCTGATCATTCCAGTAGCCCCCCTGGTAGTCACTCCACTGCTCACTCCGGTAGCCCCTGCGCTGGTCATTCCGGTACCGCCCCCAGGAATCATTCCGGTGGTCACTCCAGTGGTCACTCCAGTAGCCCCCGTGGTGGTCACTCCACTGGTCACTCCGGTAGCCCCATTAGCAGCCGTGGTAGCCCCGGGCGGCGCGGCGGTGGCCAGCAGGAACCGCAGCGTCCGCAGCGCTCCGGCCGAGGTGTGGCACAGCAGATGCACCACCACGCCCACGGTGGCGTCCAGCTCGTCGCGCGGCGCCGCCGAGAAGCGCTGGTGCAGCTGGTTCAGCACCGGCGGCCGCAGGGCGTCCACCAGCTCCGGTGACACCGCGGCCAGCAGCGCCGGTGACATCAGCGCYAACTGCAGCAAAAAGGGCACGGTGGCTTTGTGCTGCTCCCTCTGTGAGCCCAAACTCTCGTGGAACATCCTCAGCAGCTCCTGTTTGATGCTGCCGGCGTGGCGCGACGCCAAATGGCCCAAAATCCCCACCACCGAAGCGATTTTGGGGACGCGTTTGTCACCTGCTGTCCCCTCCCCCAAACCCCCGTGGGCACAGAAATCCTTGAGGCCGCACGACAGCACTCTGCTGATGATTGTCCCCGGGAACGACGAGCCCACGTGGGCCACCACCCAATCGAAATGTGGCGAGTGCTGCACCGACGTGTCCAGCAGAGCGTCCACGCAAACGTCCGGGCAGCTGCCGGCCATGGCTGCCAAACATTGGCTGTAAATGTCCAGCAGAGCCCTGGTGGCCGGACACGCCATCCAGAGCTGCAGCAGCTCGTTCAGGCTGGCGCTGCTGGGCACCCCGGGGCTCCCGGAGTATTTGCTGCTCAGCTGGCCCATCARTTCGCTAGCCCAAGCGGCCACTCCGGGAGCCCACGCGCGGGGGTTGGTGGCCACCAGCTCGGCCAGGGCTCGGCGCGCTTCCTGCAGCACCTCGGCGCCCGCGGTGGCTTTTGGGGACATKGGGGACATTGGGGACGCGGTGGCAGCCTCGCGCTGCAGGAGGTGGGCGCAGACCTGGTCRTCAAACAGGGAGCGGAGGTGCTGCAGGGCGGCGTGCCGGGCGGGGGGCAGAGAGCGGAGCAGGCGCAGGGCGCAGCGGGCGTGGGCAGCGGGGGACAAAGGGACACCTTGGACAGGGTCCAGACCCGTCAGGAACGCCTTCACCTCCTGAGAGAGCTCCTGAGCACTGCAAAAAACACAGAGAAACGGTTAAATGTGTGAGGAGATACACCAGAGGGGACAGGGGGACGCCCTGGATGGGGTCCAGACCCGTGAGGAACGCTTTCACCTCCTGGGAGAGCTCCTGGGCACTGTGGAGAGACAGGGAAAGGGTTAAATGGTGACACTGGGGACAGGGGGACACCCTGGATGGGGTCCAGACCCGTCAGGAACGCCTTCACCTCCTGGGAGAGCTCCTGGGCACTGCAAAGAGGAGAGGAGAGGGTTAAAATGGGTGAGAAAGGGTTAAAATGGGGACAGGGGGACACCCTGGACGGGGTCCAGACCGGTGAGGAACGCTTTCACCTCCTGGGAGAGCTCCTGGGCACTGCAGAGAGACAGAGAAAAGGGTTAAATGGGGACAGGGGGTGACATTTGGGGACAATGCCAGCTCCTGGGCACTGTGGGGGGAAAGGAGAGGGTTAAATGGGGACAAACGGTGACATTGGGGACAATGCCAGCTCCTGGGACAGCTCCTGAGCACTGTGGAGAACACAAGGAAAGGGTTAAATGGGGACAGGGGGTGACATTTGGGGACAATGCCAGCTCCTGGGCACTGTGGGGGGAAAGGAGAGGGTTAAATGGGGACAGGGGTGACACTTGGGGACAATGCCAGCTCCTGAGCACTGCAGGCACGGAAGGGTTAAATGGGTGAGGGGCTGAGGGGGCACCGCGATCCCAAAAATGGGGGAGGGGGCGCTGAGGGGACCCGGAGGTCAC